TTTTCATCATGAGTCCCAATGTTTAAAAATGGATCTTTATGGATTTACTCCCATGGAAGGAAATGAAAATACTTCTTTTCAATTGAAGGGCAGAATCAAGAAAGCAAAGTAGTGAACACTACTTTCTACTCCCACTTAGCCAGTTTGTTGCTGGCAGGACTTCAGAAAGGAAAGCACCAGTATGATTTCTTAGTTAACTATTTTAAAAAGAAATAAAGATAGATCTGTAAAAAAATAAAGCTGTATAGATATGGAAGTAACTCCCTGAAAATCAGTGAATCAACATCAAATCGCTATAATATGAATCCAGGAATTTTAAGAGGATTATAAGTAAATTACTATATTCTGTTGTTCACTACTTGCTCTGAATTATTTTGATAGCCCAGCTGAGAGATTGAACATAAGCCTAGAGAAATCTTAGCAATTGGGCCTACAGTTGTATGTAAGTGCAGCAGGGTTGTTGTATGTCTTGCCTTCTCATTACTATTTTTGACAACTGCTAATACAACATCTTCTTTCAGGCATAGAAACAGTCTTACTAAAAATAAATAACTTAAAGAGGAAAAAAAACCTTTTGAGAATTAAGGAAAAAAAAGTTGTGTTGATCTTTTCCATCGTGCACATTCTACTGGCTATGTTGAAATATAAACTTGTTTGGAAATAACAGATCTAGTCCATCTGGAGGGCATCATGGTGTGGAGCAATAATGTTTATGGTGCTTTTCTCACATGGAAGAAAAGGACTTACATTTTATCAAATTTTGTTTCTATGTGTGCATAATTAATTTATTTCCACTGCTTAATGACATAGTGTATAAAGCTAACTTCTAAGATCATATGCAAAAAGCTTTTCTCTTGAAAAAATACTTCTTGCACTTTTTACATTTATTTACATCTATTTATATAACCACCCATCTTACCAGAGTGGTTCTAATTGGCTAACATGAATCAAAATGCAATATAAATACAATACATATGTTAAAAATCTACTTAGTTGCATACTTCCCCAAATATTTTTCTGTGCCTCAAATACTTTGCCAAGGAAGGATCCAATTATAGAAAAGAGGCTTTCACATTTCTAAAATAATAAAAAATTTCAATCACACAAATATGGTAGCAATTACCAACAGAGTTTTGAAATTTTGAAAACTACTAAAGTGAAAAACGTATCTAAGGATTGTTGTATTTGTGGAATACTGTGTTATAAAAATGTAGAAAGTACATAAATAATAGATGCAATATATTCTCAGTAGTATTTCTCAGGATATAATAAGGATAGTGGTGCCACAAAATGTCACTCAACATTTCCTGTGTCAATGTTTGACTGTGCTGTATAGTTCAACATGGGCTATTTTCAAAGCAGATACACTTCTGAATGTATCCCAGCTTTTTCAGTGAAGGCAGTTCATTTTAAATGCTGTCACTGTTGAAGACATTGAAGAATCCGGTTAGGAAAAATCTCTGAAAGGATCATCCAATGGGTCACCGATTGTCTAGTAACAACTAATTGTCTTCCGATATCTAGTTATTCCTTCTGATGATTAAGCTTTCCCAATTGGCCATTCTCCAGTTGTAGGGGATGGTCTGAGAATATTATGATTGTAATTCCAGTACATCTAAAAGATGCCAAATTTGGTAAGATTATGCACAAGTAGACATACTAGTTGGTTGGCAGTGCTTAAGACATACTAGTTGGCTGGTTCACAGGGCTTTACAAAACTCCCAGTTTGAGAATTTCATGTTTTAGAGAATTTCAGAATGTTCTGTTTCTTACTGATATGATGTTGTAGGGGAGGGAACCACTGTCAGAAATTGCTGAACCATTCTACGGCAAACAATTTTCCATTCCAAAGTTGTGCACATCCACGGAGTGTCAGGACTGTAGTGAGATTTCTGATTGGTCTTCCTTTTGTACTTTCTCCTCTAATTGCTCTTTGTATGACAGGTGACATTAATCCCAACGCATGATTCAGAAGTGATGAGGGAATGGTACCAAGAGACCCACGAGAAACAACAGGATCTTAACATCATGGTTTTGGCAAGCAGTAGCACCGTTGTTATGCAAGATGAATCTTTCCCTGCATGCAAGATTGAACTGTAAAAAAAAAAAGCAATGCATTTCAACTTTAAACTTTGTTTCCAGAAATTCTTGAATTTGAAAATACTTTTTCTAAAAATATAATCCATCTAATTCAGCTGCTGAACTATATATACCTGCCAAATGCTATATACTGTATCAGAGTGATGCAAGTCACTATTTTTTTTTCCAGTCTTTGCTAATTGCTAAGGGAAATAACAGTATTCCCACCATAGGGTTCAAATTACTGCAAAACCTGCAGATTCAGGTTCATCTTCATTGAACACTAGGAAACCATGCACTAGCAAACACTGCTGACTTATGCCAGGTTGGGGGCCTTTGCCCTTGGAAGAAACAGAGAGAAAAAAGATGGAGAGAGAGGAGGGGAGGGGGAAGATAAGTTGGATGGCGTAGAGGTGAATAAAATAATTAATTCCTCATTAGTTACAAAGCAGTCAGTGACTTACCTCCTGCAGTCTAGCATCCTAGAGAAAGAAAGATTTGGGTGTTGTTTTTTTCCAGAGTAGGCATATTTAATTTAGTGACATCTTAGCTAGAATATTAAGTGAAACAGAATGTGGTTTTTGGAGGAACATTGCATTGGAAGCACTTACTATTGGCAACTTCCCATTCAGTGTTTCATTGTCACGTAACACAGTTCTCTTAGACAAAATATGCATGTAGTTTGAATTCCATTCAGTTTACCATGCAGACATGTTGGTCTAAGGCATGCTCCCAACGAAAATTTAGAGTTCTTTCAAATTTGACAAACTTGCATGCTAAAACACCTGGGTCACTGACAAGTTTACTGAAGCAAAATACCAAAGCAGTTGGGAGTTCCTATGGTAGACAATTTGCCTTAGAAAGTGACTTGAATGTACAAAGATACTTGATGCACTTATTTTTTAATGCAAGATAGCAAGTTTATAAAACATCTGTGTAGGATTATAGTTACACCAATATGGAACTATGCGTGTGCTATTGGAAATCTCTCTGATTGGTCAAACAGCTTGGTGCTATGAATTATGTATGTAAGTTGAGCACTTCATTGGTGCACCTGAACAGCAAACCTTGCTTGAAGTTATTTTTTTCCCCTCTCTTTTTTCCTGCTTCCTGGAAGCATGGAAGAAGAGGTGTTCAGTACCAGAAATTCAAAATTAACAAAAATATATGGGATGTTACAAAAAGGTTGTCTACTCATCTGTACAGTCTCTGAAGCTTTCTTTTGTCTTACATTAGTTTGACTGTTAATTTAAGAGTGAATATAGGGACAAATGTACAGAATTTTTTAAACTGTGCACAAACTTTTAATAGATGAATTTTTAAACATGTTTTGTTTACAGGAAAATGCAGAAAAAAAAATCAGGTGAAGGCTAATTTTTAGTAGTTTTGTAAGACAACACATAGTGTTATTTTGAGTTCTGGTGAGAATGAAGTACGATAAAACAGTACCATATTAATTGAACGTAGTTTACTGCCAAGGATTATCTTGCAGAGAGCACACTAGCAATATCGTTATGTGTTAGTGGTCAAAGAACCAAGGACTGAAAGATTAGTTGGCTTTCTTTTAAGCAGGCAGCTTGGATTGGGGGTTATTCCATGGCTTTATGCAATCTAAGGAGTCATTTGTGATGGCACTATTTCAGAGCACCAATAAACACAGTTTACGACTGGGGGGGGGCAGGGGTTGCATCAAACCAGCTTTGTGACATTACAAGCAGTCCTGTGAGACACCTGTCAAACCCTCCAGTGTTAGTTGGGCAGCAGAGATCTTGACTTAATTTTCCTAGCTATTCCTTTATCCTACACTGTCTTAAGTAAAATTAATTGAAGGATCCTTCCCCAAAGTAAAACCAGAACAGGGTATACTGTATATGATGTGATTCTGTGAAATCATAGAAACATGGAAAATGTAATCCTGATCACAGATTTTAATTGATGAGAACCTCAGCTCCCAGGTACTTCAAAGCTTCTAATTCCTAGAATTACAGGAAGGAGAGTGCCTGATCAGGATTTCTTACAACCAGATGGGATTTAATATTCCTCATCTTTTCCAATTAGCACACAGAAAAACAAAGTATGCAAAACTTATTCAGGTATGCATAATTTCTACAGATTACAGGAATCAATTTTATGTGTGACTGAGTTTGGGTTGTTTGGTCACACATTGTTCCTCTTGGCTTTCTAGCAGCACCAATTGAATGGTGGTGCTAGCATACCACACAGTATGCAACCACACTACTTTCTCCCTGCAGCTTACAGCACCTTCTAGAGTTGCAGGGTTCTCTGGTTCTTCTCTCATCTTCCCAAACATGCCACCACTCCATTTATCCAAACAAATTACATGTGCCTGGCCTAGTGCAAACGTACTTGCTTATTTTTTTAATGTTCAAGACCACCTACTACCGGGAAGCCTACATTTCATTGTAAGATGGAAATGAAAAGTCAGAAAAATAAGAAAATGTGTGATAACATAGTTCTGATAATAATATTTCTCATGCTGGTATAGTATTTTCATGACCAGAGTACATCTTATCACTACCTGTAATAATACCTCCATTATCCTTAATGTTTTACTTTGCAGCTCTGTACAGAATTTTCACAATCTCATTCTGTCTATAATAGGAATTTGTATTGTTTTATGCCAACCATATTTTCAGAATGCTCTTGATTTCATTAAGTATGGGACAACTACAGCATTTTGCTTATTATATGTTATATAATTTATTTTAATTGTTGCATTGTTTATTTTTGTTTTATTTTGCTAATTTTTATATATATTTTAATATTACTTTAGATCCTCTTTAATTTGGGCTGGGTAGCCCAATTAATGCTGTGAAATATTGTTTATGTTTTGTGGATTTAAAAATTCTAATATTTTGTTTTTGTTTGATAATTCTAGCAATGCTATTTTATTTATTATTTTACCTTTATCCAAGAAACACTTCTGTTCTTGTAGCTCTTTATTTTTCTTGGAACCAGTGTAGATGGAAACTCTATGGGTTGGGTTCCAAGTCTTTAAAAAAAATCTGGTATGATTGTGGAATGAAAAGCTTGGGGAAAATGTATTTTTGAAAGAAGCAGGATAGCCGAATTCCTAATTGTGAATGCTGCTTTTGGGAAATGCAGCAGTGGGAAAACATTGTCCTGATACCCATTAAACAGAAATAACTACATGTTATGTAATATATTTCCTGAATGTTATTCTCTCATACCTCATCCCCTTTCTTAGCCCAACGGTTGCTATTTCGAATACAATTCTATAATCATCCACTAATGTGATATAGTCCTAACCATATGTTCATCCACATTGGATAACCCAGGCCGATAGTACTGACAGAAGGTTAAAATGTAAGAGTTTATTGGACAAAGCTGTTACTCTACAACACTGTAAGCATAATTATTGCCTTTTACTTATCCAAGTTGGCTACCTTGAAAATATCTGGGTTTCTTAGCAGTGACCATGCTGGCTGGGGAATTCTGGAGAAATTCATCTGGAGAGTTCCTTAATATGGAAAAATTGACTTAGATTATTTATTCTGAGTGGGTGCCAAGCTATTGCAATCAGCTCTGCCAAATAACAATGTAATATTCCATTTACTATTGCTTCAAGATGAATTAATTTTATGAACTCCCCCCCACCAATTTTCTGTTTTTAAGCAAAATTTAAAGGATTTACCCAGCAGAAATACATATGCTTAATTTTCTTCTTGCCAAAAAATAAAGAAGAAGAAGAAAAGAAAATGTGAACAATAAGACAAAAAACTGACTAGATCATGGAGGTTCTCAGTCTGTTTCGAACTGAACTTCTGTGAGGATTAATATTTAAATGTGCAAAAGGGAAATTAATTTGCTGTCTCCAGAAAGTGAAAACATAGCAGATGTGTACATCAATAGGTCTGTTGAAGCAATTGTCTGAAATCAGCGTGCCAGATAATAATGTATGCCATATCAGAAATCAATTCTGTTGTGTGCAGTAGGACTTATTCCCAAAAAACATATAGGATTGCCACCTTAATAGAGTTCAAATTTGGCCTTGACACTCCTTCACACTTTAAGCACATTATTGATCCTCTTGTAATTATTTTAGTATAGCATCAGAAATATAGTTTGATCGGGATTTTTCTGTGTGTAAACTTCCCTCTTTACTTTATGCTTCCCAACTATTGAATTCTAATTCGGCAAATCTTGATTTTTATGGAAATATATATTCTCTTATGCAGCCTTCCCTATTTTACTGCAGTTCAAATCAGTGGATTACAATTTCCAGCATTGTCAGCCAGCATGCTAATTGCTAAGTTTGATAATTTATAGTCCAATAATTCTTGTTTTGGGGGGAGTGGAAGTACCAGTTTGTATAGCTTTGCTCAAAGGTCCCATTTTGCATCACTTCTCAAAGGTCTCATTTTGCATCGATTCTAGCATTAGAACTCTTTTTAATGTTCTGTTTTCTGGCAACTTGCTCCTGAGAGTTGAGGAAAATTTCAGGAATACTTCTGAAAGTACAGGGACATGTAGTGGGCATGACATTGGCATTTGCCCTGCATATGAGTTGATGTGCCTTTTAGATCCAAGCCTATATTTTCTTTTTAAGTTTCTGAATAAAGCTATAGTAGTAGGCTATACAGTTCATAAACAATTGTTTTTGAACAAGCAGGCATAGGGTTTTGAATGGCAATCAGGACTGAATTTGAATGGCACTCAATTCTGGATTTCTGTTACTGTTGTTTTAGGAAGCTCCTCTAGACTAAACTAAATGGAACTAATAGTTGTGTTAGTCACAGCCCTGCATAGTATAGTGACAGTCAATCTGAAGTACCATAAATACTGTTATTGTGCTCTGTTACTCAGCACAGGTTACTAGAAGCATGGTTCAATATCAATTAAATTAATAATTCAATATTAATTAATGAAACAAAAGTAGAGTGCTATATGCATTCCAGAAAATTTTATCATTGGTAACATTCCCCTCATTGTGCTGTTATGATAGTACTTTCCCACTGAATAAAATTTAGTGACAGCAGTTTAGTTGAGGTCACATTCAAACTTAAAACAGATCTTTTTGCATGCCTTTACATTTTCCTATGGTGGGTCTAATTTCTGCAACTACTACATTTTTAATTAATCTTTAATTCTTCATAATTTGTGTTTGACTTCACATACAGTAGTGAATGAATCCAAATGTGTATACAAGTATATTTAGCTGTCTTCAATAGATTAAGCGGTTTAGGAACCTTGCAACACAGAACTAAGAAGCTGTTGGTGTTAAGGAAAACATTCCAAGAACTTCCAGCTTTGCTACAAGGAGTTAATTCTGCATTTTCTACATCATGGGTCCTTTCTCCACTAGTAAGCATCTTCTAGAATCATCCCAACATTGATGTACCAGGTTAACAATAATGAGGACAGATTTTACATCACTTC